CAAAACGTACAGTTCAGTGTTAAGATACTTCTGACTTTCCATAATCTGTCTCATCACGTGGTGTAAAAAGATGATGATTTTGCTCCCATGTTGAGCGGAGACACCAACACTTCTCTGGTTCACAAAGGCATTTAAAATGACCGGCTATAACTTCTGCACGCATGCAGAATGCCCCAGTGGCCAATCAGAAATACAGATGTGATCACATGTCATGGGACCTTCCCATAAGGCAGTCTCTGCCTACATTTCCCAGGAGGGACTTTCTTAAAGGAGACAGCTCCTAATTCCTACACTAGCTATATATTGCTGGGGCAGCACAGCGTCTAAAAGGTTCGCCATCACTGGTCTATGGTATTTTCCAAATGAAAATGCCCCTTATCTTTACAATAGCCTTCTCTTTGATGTATTTGTTTCATAAAAACTAAGCAATTGATTCTGGGAACATTATAAGCAGGGATGTTTACATTGCACATATGTGCAATGTAAAATGGCAGCAGTCCTGAATTCTACCACTGCCCTTTGCACAAAATGATTCCGAATGTGTTGCTATTTCATTCCAAGCACTCCACTTAAGGTGTGGAATAGAATGACATTAAGAGTTATGGATCATGTAGAATAGTTAGGGCATGATTGGGACCTGTGCACAAGAGCATTTCTTGCTTTGTTTCCTAGGATACACTGATGTGTTTAGGGAAGCCTATATTGGACGAGCTATTGCCCTCTGGGTGGGAAAACTGGGGCTGACTTTTATAAGATAGAGCCTGCCACATGCTCCTTTTTAAAGACATGTTTTTAAAGAAATCTAGCCTCCAGTTAATGAGTTCCTCTTTCAGTCAGTCCATCAGACTGAACAAAACGGCTTTATGCCAGAAGTGTCCAAGGTGTCCGCGTAAAATGTTAAGAATGCTCTTACTGGGTTTGTTGCATTGGGATCTGCTCCTCTTTCCAGAAATGTCATACATATATCTTTGATCTCGTGGGCTTGCTCACAGGCTTGTACAAAAACTGGCTTCCCCTCAAAAGTGCAGTTGTTAACATCCGCTCCAAATTCAAGGACCATCTGAACACAGCGGAAATGCCGTTTGGTGGGCAGAATGCAATAAAACAGCACTCCTGGAAAGAGCACACAGCACTACGGCTTAGTAAATGCCCACCATGCTGAACACAGCTGTCAACCACTAAGGGAATTGAAACATCCAGTCGGGTCTTCCTGAAAACCCGCCCGCCCCAACCAAAAGGACACGCGGTTCGTCTTACCTTTTCCTTCTGCATCCACTATTGTCATATCTGCTTCTGCCTGGACTAGCACATCCAAGGCCAAGTCATGGCCAAGTTCTGCCGCTTTCATCACGGGGGTGCGCCCCATTCGATCTTGGACATCGGGGTGAGCGCCAAGCTCTAAAAGAAAGTTGCACATGTCAATGTCGTTGGCCACACAAGCCAAGTGAAGGGCGCTGTCTCCATTTTCTGGCTCAGTGAAATTGATGAGTTCAGGGTATCCAAGCTTGGTGAGCTTTTCAATCTGTTTCTTGTCCTTCTGGCGAACACACTGAAGGACTTTGTATATCTGGAGGTTTTCAAGCCTCTTGTCGGCCAAAGACATTTTCAATATCCCAAGGAAAACTCTCCCCTTAAAAAAGGATCCTGAGCAAAAAGAAAAAAGAAGAAAAAAAAACAATAAGAGAAAGGGGAAAATCAGACCACTCTAAATTCTTCAAGTTTTGTGTTTATGGTCCTTTGGGTAGCTAACAACACCTGTGATGGGCAATTTGCATTTAGTGGATTCAGAATGGAGTATGGGTTGTGTAAGGATTGGGATTCAAAGAAAAAAAATATGCTTTGGAGTATGTGGGACTGCTCAAGTCTGCAATGCTTTAAAGCAGCTGCATCTTTCCCCAAGGTCACAAAACCTCCCTACAGAATTGTAATCTTTTCCCAGGAAAACATACTTTTTAATTTAAAGAGTTGCTAATAGATGTTAATTGTGCACCCATGCACATTCTGAAGCATCTTTTTCCCTCTGAACTAGAAGCACTGCTCAGCCCCATGAAAGGTTCAAGAAATGGGTTTACATCCTTCCCCAGATATTGTCCTGACATCTCCTTCCCTCCTGTGGCATACAAGCAGTGGTGGGATTCAGTCAGTTCGCACCTATTCGGGAGAACCACTTGTTAACTTTCTAAGCAGTCCAGAGAACCAGTTGTTGGAAGAAATCTCCTTTTGCTTTTTCTCACATTACAGGGCTAATCCAGTAAGTAAGTAAGTAAGTAAGTAAGTAAGTAAGTAAGTAAGTAAGGAAGGAAGGAAGGAAGGAAGGAAGGAAGGAAACATTCTAGTGTTGTTTCTAGCTTAATCTTTATTGCCCTGATTACAGAAACTGCCTCTTGGTTACCCCTTATTACCTTATAACAACTAAG